TATCTCAATTATACATGTTAAAATGAGGCTTCCAAAATTACTTAAGACTCTTATCGACAAGTTCGTAGGTTATCTTTATTTAGATGTTTCATTAAACTATTGTGATTACCAAAAAAACCTGCTTGTGCTAAATCATAACAATTTGACGTTTTGTTTTTGACAAATACAAATTTCTAACGGTCATTTTTTGCTTGACTCAAGTGATAAACAAATGCAAACAACAAACACAAATAATGATTGAGTCTTCTTTTGAAATCATAGTTCCATCTAAAAACAAGCCAATTCTTATAGCAGATAACAAATAACGAATTGATCGAGACGCTTGAAGAGCACAACCATGACAATTCAGCGAGAAAATTAGACGCCCGAAACGTCATCAAGCATTAAAAAGATCTCAGCAAGAGCTGAACGAAACAATCGTGTTATAATTTTTAATTCGAGAATGACTCTAAACTTGAATGGCTTTTCATTTTTTGCATTGGTTAAAATGTTTGTAAGTTTTTGTTGCGGCTTAAAATGTTTAAAAAACTATTTTTTGAAAAATTGTTGAAAAATTGTTTAAGTTTGTTGAAAGTTTGTTCATTTTTGGTTCGAAGCACCTTAACAATCCGAGTTATTGACAAAGTCATTTCTGTTCAAAAATTAAGCAAATTAAGGAGCGCCAAGTTCTCTGGCCTTAAATGGCTCTCTTTTTTGGCTTTATTCTTTGATGTTTACCAAAGTCCCCTTTAAAGCAAGTTCTTTTTCCAGTGTTTTTTAAATTGGCGTCAAGTTGTATAAATAGTTCCAGAAGGTAATGGGTTCAAATTGCTTCAATTGTTTGGAGTTAAAAAATGAAAACGCTTTAAACTCTCTGTGATCAAAATAATTGTCAAAAAGATAATACTTGAAAACTTGCAGGTTTAATAAGATTTTGATACAAATAACCTGAGAAGGATGTGATTCATGTGAGCCAAAAAAAATTTGGGCAAAAAGAATTTTTCACATGGTGAAGGTAGATTTGCCGACATTTAGTGGTAAATAAGATGGAAAAAATCAATCAGGATATTCAAATGTCAAAAAGGATAGCCGGGTGCTGTGCAAATAGAACCAAGTATTCTACCATAATCATGAGCTTTGTCCAAATAGCGTCGTTTTTTGTGCGTTTTGTGATGAAGGGATCTGATCGACAGCCTGAACATAGGCAAATTAGATAGTCATAAAAAATTGGGCATTTTGCTCAAAAGTTTTCCTCAAAACTTATTAGAAGAAGTGAGAAAACAAATTGCACGCTAGTTTTTGCAGAACCTCTTTTGAGGAATTTTTTATTTTAAGTGGCACTAAGTTTTCTGGAAACTAAATATAATTGAGTAAAACTGAGTTAATTCAGGGCTTATGTAGAAATTTCACGGGTTACAGTCTTACAATAAATCGGCACGCTGGTTTTTTGTTGCTCTGAATTAGCCAAAAAACAGCAATTTCAAACCAGTTTTTCTCAGTGGAAAAAATTAATTTTTTTGAAAATTGCCTTTCACGCATTTTAAAATTTTTTTTTCAAAAATTGTACCAATCACGTCTGAAACAGATGTAATTTGATATATAAAAATAACGATTCGAATGAGTCTTTGTGGTATTTCAATTTGCATAAAAACACAATACAATACAAGGGATCTTAAAAACAAATGCAAAAATTCATTAGAATCCAAGACACAAAAGCTTGCATCAATATCTGAGTGCTCAGACAGCCTATAAATTTTACCAAATTTTATACTTTTTTGAAAATGAAGAAGGTTGTTCAAATAAAAAGAAAATTGGATCAGTTTTTTTTTCAAATAATTTTCCCCAAACTTGCTTGCCTCAGTTGAATTGAATTCATTTAGTTTCAAATGAAACAGCAGGTCAAGTATAAGGTCTCTATATGACTCATCAATCTTTGTCAGATATTCAAAAACTCAAAATTTGAAGAAGTACGATAGGACACTCACACTCACAATAACCCACACACACACAGACACACACACACACACACACACACACACAACACACACACACACACACACACACACACAATCTTGTATATATATATATATATATATATATATATATATATATATATATATATATATATATATTTCCCTAATGAAAGACGAATCCGCTAGCAAAATCAAAACTTTCTGTTTGTTGCAGTTTCCTGAATCAATGATTAAATCGAAAAAAATTAAGTTCCAAGCTTCTCTGTGTGAATTACGCAATAACTTAATGAGTGGATGTCCCTTAAAAATTCAGTCGACAATGAAAGCTCGTAAACGGACTCCAGAGAAACAAATACACTAAACAGTGCACCTTATAGAGGCAAAGTTTAGTCTTGTGACGAAATTCAGCTAATCTGCTGGCATTACCACGAGATATCACTTAAATGTTCAAATGTTTTAATTGAAAATTTATATCGACTTTCTCTGAAAAATGTCAGAGAAGCTATAGCATCTCTGAAAAATTGAGTTTCTCAGGTTATTTCGCAGTAATAACATTAAAAAATTGAATGTAATAGATCAAAATGAAACTTTTTTCTTCTAAAAATAGAAATTTTTTATGAAAATCATCACCCCACACGCCATTTAAACTACAAAAATATAGATTTCGCTCCTTGTAACAAATCAATTATGGCAAATAAGCTTCTTTCAAGCGATTTGGAACGATTTCTAAGACAGATTAACTCTCCGCTTACACATTAATAGCCTGAAATATATCGCGAGTTACTTGTCCCAAATTGGCCAAAATGGCAATCTTTAAGCCCCCATAACTTTACGAAAAATGATCACAGGTGAAATATCTTTTCAAATTTGAACTCTTGGCAACAATACTTTTCGAATGATATCAAACAAATGCGTCGAAAATGGCTAGTTAAAAAGTCGAAATTTGTCTGAAGAAAAAAAAACCCACCCCGAGCACAAATATTCCGTTACTTTCTTATAGAAAGTCGGAACAATAAAATTACCCTTATCTAAACCAATTGAGAAAAAATCATCAAGTCTTCCCTAAAGAGCGCCGAACCCGACAACAAATTCAAAAATTTGCTGTTCCGTTTGTTGCAATTTCCCGACTCAATTTTCATTTGGAAAAGCTTCTCTTTCATTTGCAACTCAATTATTATTTGTTCCAAGCTTCTTTTTGTAAATTACGCAGTTTTTTAGTGAGTGGATTTTACTTAAAATTTTAGGCTAACACATTGAGGGGGTGGCGATATTTTTCGATTGTTTGTAAGAACTTGTCTGGAGAATACAAAAATATTCAATTTCTCTTCTTTTAATTTGAATTAAACTAGATGCTTGACAACGCTTATTCAAGTTCAAATACTCATCTTTAATTTTAAAAAATATCATCTTTTTCAAGGTCGGATTTAGGGGGGACGCCTCTCCCTCAGAAATTCCTCCCCCTGACGACCTAAAGTGTCCCCCTTTAGTATTATTTTGAGATATCCATTTTTGGCTGACTGACATTAAAGTTTTTCTAAAGGCGCCTTTGGCGCCAATCTATACAAGTTTTGAGGGAGCGTGCGCCAAAAAACCGCGATTTTTGGTCGAAATTTTCCAAAAAAAAAATATTTTTTTTTAAAAAAAAGTTCGACAAAAAAGATCCCCCTCCATCTCGAGAAATTCCTAGATCGGCGCCTGGTCATATATAAAAGCTTGAAAACGGTTTCCAGAGAAACACATGAACTAAACAATGCGCCTTATGGAGGCAATTTTTAGTCAGTCCTGTGATGAAATTGAGCTAGTCCGCTGGTATAACAACGAGAAAAGACCTACGTGTTCAATATGTTTTAATTAAAAAAATTATATCAAACTTTTAAAAATTTATGATACTTGTCCGCAGCGAATTGATACTGCTCACATATTAATTATTTCAGCAGGGTTTTTGACGTGACAAGGAAAAATGTATACAAAAACGTCTCGCTTGCTTGACTTTTTACATTGAGGCCCAAAAATATTGTGCATCTTTTTTCATGATGTTTCCTTCAATTTATTGGTACAGTTTTGATGATTATTACTGTTAAATTGTCTTTTAACAAGTCTGTTGACTCATCTAATGATACTAAATATAACAAAAGCATAAGTTTTGTATCAACATGGCTTTCTTAGATAGTCATTAATACCTTAACTTTTTTGAAAAATAAAATAAAAAACAAATCCAAAAAAATTACTCAAATTTTGTTGGAAAATCATCGCCTCCCCCTTGGCAAGTTTCTAGATTTGCACTGTACTGTTTCCTTGTGAAAACCGGTCAGTTTTGACTATCCGTGAACAAAAATAACAAAACTGCTCGTATCAGGGTGACTGCCTTTTGAGGTTTATCGAGCAGTAATAAAAAAAAATTAAATGTAATAAAATGAAATGAAAATTTTTTTTCTAAAATTTGAAATTTTTTTTATGAAAAACATCCCCCCACACGCCATTTTAAGTACAAAAGGATAGATTTCAATCCTTGTAACAAATCAATAATGGCAAATAAGCTTCTTTCAACCAATTTGTAACGATTTATAAGACGGATTAAATCTCCGCTTACGCGTTAATAGCGCGGAATATCTCGAGCGTTAATTGTCCCAAATTGGCCAAAATGGCAATTTTTAAACCCCCATAACGTTATGAAAAATGGTCTCAGGTGAAACATCTTTTCAAGTTTAGGCTCAGGACAACAATCGCTTTCGAATGATTTTTAAAAAATTTCGTCAAAAATGGCTAGTTAAAAAGTCGAAATTTGTCTGAAAAAAAAGCCACCCCGAGCTCAAATATTCCGCTACTTTTGTATCGAAAGTCGGAACAAAAACAACAGCTAAAATGGTTAAACGAGACAACTTTGTCCGCATGCTGCTTAAAAAATTAGGATAATATTGATTTGGCGTTTATTTAAATTAAATTGGTGCGAACAATTGGTTTGAAAATAACCACTTTCTAAGTTTGCTGGACTAGCATTTAAATGCCAAATAAATTGTAGTGGTACCATACACGCCATCAACTTACTAACTTACTTAAAATGTGCGTAGCTAAAACTCACTAAATACTGAACCACACTCAAATACTAGTCATCAGCGAAAGTCCACAATATATAAAATTTAATTAGTTTGTTCTTGCTTAAATTAAACGCCTTGGTAATTCAATTGAAGTAACTTATTCTTGCAAAACTCGTTGACTAAATATAAACGTTTTTGATTTCGGTGAAAAATGAGCGATTATCCAAATCAACCCCCTTCCGCTCCTGGCTACGGAGGTTTTCAGTACGACCAGGGGGCATCAGCCCCTCCTCCTTACGCTGCAGATTCGCCACCAGCAGGTTACGGATATGAAACTAAGGTAAACTAATTATATAAAAACTGTTTAGTTAGTGCGTAAAAGTGAACTATATGTGAAAACTAAAGAATTTACATCATAAAAAATTATTTGATTGATATCAAAGCAGGGGCGGATTTAAGGGGGGGGGGGAGGGGGGTTAACCTTTGTGCCATTTAGAAAAAAGGCGTAACCTTTTTGGCTGACGGACCCGAAAAATTTTCTAAAGGCGCCTTCGGTGCCACTATAAACTAATTTTGAATGGGGAGCGCGCGCCAAAAAAAAATGTAATTTTTTGGTAAAATTTTTTTCAAAAAATGCCTAAAAAAGCCTTTTTCAAAATTTTGCCATGCACATCTCGCAATAACATATAAGTTTTTGTGTAGAATATAAATATAAGTAAGAACGACCTTTTATGAATAAAGTTGTAAAACGCTAACTCGCAACAAAACCCGCAATGAGGTTCCATGTATAATAATCAATTATAATTAATATTGATGGTCTGTTTCCATAAACTTCTAAAATAATTGATTATAATGGATTACAGAGCGATTATAAAACAATAGAAATATAAGTTAATATTATCCATTATTTTGAAGTATAATGGATTACAATGGATTTCATTGGTTATAATAGATTATAATGAATTATAATAGATTTTTTGAGTGAGAGCCTAGATTTTCCAAAACTGGAATCGAATATTCAAAACTTATATGTTCCAATCGCTAAATTGTGTTTCACATTTGGCTACAGCAAAAAATTGTATTGCAAAACTTCAGGGGCTTGCCAAGCAGGTGTGGGAGGAGGGGTGTGGGGGGGGGGTTATTGTGAGGAGGTCCAGGCGAGATTTTAAGTGGGAACGGGCGAGGGTGGGTGGGTAGGTGGAGAAAAAAAGTTCAATTTTTTTCTCTTTATTTTTTTTCGAATATAATCGATTGCGTGGTCTCATAGTGTAATTATAATCAATTTTGACCACTAAAATTGATTATATTCGATCATTATCTGTGGAACCTCACTGCGGGAAAGTAGCTCGCGATTTAGGACAACTCGTAAAAAGACAACTCGCAAAATACTCACTGCTGCAGTCGCGCCAACGTGTTGCGAACATGACAACAAAGGGTAAGATTTCATACAAAACTTAGAGCCGGTTACTCTTAAGCCGAAAGTTTTAAATTAAATTTTTTTTTAACCTTAGTGAAATTGTCGCGTTCTCAAATTTTGCGAGTTGTTTTTTACGAGTTGTCTTTTATGGCGAGTTGTCGCGTCACCAATAAAAGGTTAGTGTGATTGAACGATTGTATGCTTTGATACGAGAGCCGAGCAGGTTATCACTGGTGCGTAGCTTGTTTATAGGGTGGATATGCAGCTCCTCCCCCTCCCTTTGTGGGTCCTCAGAACGTCAATGTCACAGTACAGTCGCAACCTATCGTGGTTCCTGTGGAGAATTTGGGGCGACAATCTACAATGACATATTGCAATCATTGTCACAGTCAGGTAAACTAAAAAGTTAACTATATAATCCTGAAAAGTTTCAAAATTCGCTGACATGGACCCGAGATAGACTTAAATAATTAACCATTAGAACCAGTAGCGGCAGGGGCGGATCTAGGATTTTCTCGAGGGGGCGGCGTATTTTCAAAAAATTTTCGAAAATTTTGTCGACCTTTTTTTTTAGCTCTTTTAGTCTGTTTTGGCGAAATTTTCTGCGCCGCAGGCAAAATTTTGAAAAAAACAGTCCACAAAAAGCGTTTTTAAGTAGTATTGTATCGTGTCCCGGATCCTAAGGGGGGGGGGGGGTCCTTTTAAGGGGGGGTCCTCACGTAAAGCAAAATCCTAGGAAAGGGGTCCTTAATTTTTTGGAGGACCCTCATCCTAGAATTTCGTAAACGAAAGAAATTTTCCACCCAAAAAGCAGAAGACCCCCTACTTAAGATCTTGCTAAGTTTGGCTTAACAACAAGGGACACGATACAAAATTCTTTCTAATTCCAAATTTTGGGGTCCTAATTATTCGTCCTGGTTAATTATATGAAACAAATTAATTGTTATATTTGTTTCGGGCAAATGAACTTTCGACCTAGTTGAAATTTGTTAGTGAACGGGTAATTGACTTTTATGGTATATAATAAAAATTCGCCGGCCATTTTGGCAGCGTAGCTTAACTGTTGGCTGCAGTAAGCTAAATCCTTAACTTGACCTAAATTTTATGGTGAGAAGGCAGTAAATTGAAATTACTCTCCAAAGGCGGCGGCCGTTTCTGGGCAAAATATACCAAATGATAAATTTGTCAAATTTTGAAATAAGAAAAATGAAATAAGAGGGAACTTGGTGTACTGAAGATATTGATAATGAACATTTACAATTAAGAGTGTTTTCAACCAGAGAAAGAAACTCATTTTTCAAATTTTGTAATGAACGCTACGTCGTTTTCCTCGAAAGGGCAAAGGAAATTTCAAAGAAAGAATACGAGTTAATTTTCAAAGAACAATTTTATTTGAGTGAGCTTCAACAAATCTCTTGGTGCATTTCTACAAAACAAAAGTATGGTACTGTGAGCGATTTGAATATTGCTGATTATGAAAACGTATTCGACTATTCGTTTGACTTTAACTCATTATGGGTTGATAAAGACTTGGAGAGAAAAATCCGTCTATGTTTCAACAAGCTATCAAAATACAAAAAACTTCCGGTGGTTTATTTAATTATTTACCACCGTTATCTTAATGAGTCTAAATGGTATTTGCAAGGTCACTTTTATTTCCACTGGCTTAAAATTCAGCTGGTTGGAGAGGTGTTGGAAAAAATAAATAATGAAATTGCAAAAAAGCAGAGTAACTCCTACTGATTTGAAAATATTTCACGAAATTTATACGTCTTTGAAACAAACTTATCCTGATAATTCTAACCGACGCAACTATTTTCTAGCTGCATGTTCTCTGTTTCTTGTTAGTTCTGATAACCTTAACTACGACATTTTAATTAAGTTGAGACCTTATGGTGGCTTGATTGGTATTGATAACTCTTCCTTGGACAAATACTTGAAAAATTCCAAAAATTTACAATTGCACGCTATTTTGCACGATGCGGCCGGATTTATACACGAATTTTATCAACCGGGTCTCACGTACTGTTACATGTTGCCCTGGAACTGTAACAACAGCTTATTGGGACATTTGAGTGGAATAGCGTTCTGCCTTTTCATTAAGCTGAAAAAACCAGAAGTTAATCATTTACTAGAATGCTAGGCGAGAGATCAGTTGTGCTTGACATGGAAGGCTTTCGTGACAAGAAAAACGCCTTTGTGGTTAAAGAATTAGAAATAACAACTTCAGACTACAGCGATCGACTCATTTTTTTTTACCTCTAGTGAATTTCAATATACTACCAAAGCTTGAACAAAAAGCTTACAACTGGTTAACAAATTATTTACACGGTCTCCATTGGGAAAACGGTGATTACCTTTAAATAAACTTGAATCAAATACTTCAGAGGTTTGTGTTGAGAAATCCCGGTGCTGTTTTTTACGCTAAAGGAAAAGAAAAGACAGAATTTTTGGCCAAGTACTTGGACCGAAAGATTGAAAACCTAGATAATTTGGGCTGTCCTCGGGTTGAAAACTTATATTTTAAAAATTATCCAAGTTGCAATAAACATATTCCACACTACAACTCCAGGAATCATTGTGCCCTGAAGAAAAAAACAAGGTTTTTTATGATTGGTTGAAAAATGAACAATAGCGAGAGATCAGCGAAAGTGGAGACATACCTATCACCAAATTCAATGCTTTGTGCGTGGATGACTCCAGAGGGTGATATTAAAATTTCATTAACAAGAAGAGAGCGTATTGATTGCAGTGGCCAAATTGTTCAGAGGAAGGAGCAAATAGTAATTTCCGAAGAAGAGTTGTCTACGTTGAAGAGGTTTTTTCCAGTTATTGATCAATTTGTATACTTCCAGAGATTCAAGTTTATCAGAAATGTTAGCCAGCAAGCGAGGAGTATATCTTCCCGAACTAGTCTTAGTACCCAAACGTCAGCCAGGAGTTCAGATGGATCTAAACAGCAGTGAATTGCCAGATGAGATTAAGACGATTATGAAAGAGGATACTGTGAAGAAAATAATGTACTACGAAAAAACTGCAAATATCCCAGCATAGTTTGTTCTAGAAATGCATGACATAAATGATAAAGATTTCACACATTATGAAATTTTGGACTGCTCTCAAAACTAATTTAATTTTTTACAAGTTTCATTCACAGAGAGAAAAAGTCTAACACAGTCTGTAGAAAAAAATAGTTTCTCAAATGTCAGAAGCAACAACAGCAGTAGATGAACCTGACGCAACAATAGTAACAGAGTTTGTTTATAACGAGACAAACAGTGAAAAAAAACATGGAAGTTTTGTAACAATGTAACTTTGCCAAGGTCTGAAGTAGTTTTTGTTGCGCAAATGGTAGTTATTCAAATTTTACTAACTTTCTGCATTATCAAACTTTCTTTCACTAAATTAAGTTGCGAAGAAACGTCAGTTTGGTTCATGATTTTATCAGGCTTGTTTTGTTACGTACTACCAAACCCAAGGATATGAATAAAGTGATTGATACTTCGACAAGAATTTTCATGGCGATAGTGGGACCTTCAGGATCCGGGAAAACTGAGTTAATTTTGAAACTTTTGATGGGAAATACTTTTTACCCTAAATTTGGAACCGTTCTATATCTTTACAAAGAGATGCAACGTGCATTCTCAGAAAAAGCGTTTTCTCGCGAAGTGAATGTGAAGTTCATGAAATTCGACGGATTCGAATCTGTGAGAAAATTAGAAAATGTTCTTCTAGTTTTCGATGATTCATGTGAAGACATCTATAATGACAAGGAACTTGTTAGGTTAGCGACAGCGGTTAGACATAGAGGGATAGTGTAATATATGTTAAGCATAACTTGTTTCAACAAAGTCGATGGTCGCGTACGATTGATTTGAACACTTCACACATCATTCTGTTCAAATCGCCTCGTGACGTTCAGCAACTAGATCTTTTAGGAAGACAATTGAATGTATCAAAGTTTTTGAGAAGCTGTTACGAATTAGCTACCAGAGACTCTTTTGGACATCTTCTAATCGACTTGGACCCCCGTACATCAGATTGTTTGAGATATTGTTCAAATATCAGACGACCTGGGCCAACAGTTTTTTATTTACCCTTATCTGAAGCAGAAACTACTCCAATCACAACCAAAAAAGAAAAACTTATCTATTCTGCGGCGAATGGTACAACTGAAACCTGACCAGCTAAGACGATTAATTAGAAAAACTTCAAATCGTGAGATCATAACACTTATTTTTGAATGTTTGCTCAATGTAGTCAATGGAAACGTACCCGTTAAAATCGCAAACATCGAACGATTCGAGACAGAATACAAATACTTAATCACTCCAAAAACCAGTGTTGTCAAAAAACGTGCGGTTATTTTGAGTAAAGAAGGCTTCCATTTAGTTCGACAAATACTTTATTTTTGTTAAAAGTACCTCATAACTTAATGATGACTGCTGAAGAATTCATTCTAATTCCGAAACACTTATATGTTAAAGAGCAGCCACATGCTGCACGTGTTCTTCATGATAATAATATTAAACATAAAAATGCTCAACTATCCTATCTTAACCGGCTTAGACCCCAATTACCTCCTCGAACTAGTGAGACTACTGCAACGAAGGAAACATTTACGGAAAATGTTGAGCGCCAACAAGAACAGCTTAAACTGTTAACGGACGAAGAAGAAGTACCGGTGGAACGTGATAAAGACGAAATACTAGAAGAGAAACACGATAGACTGACCGAATACATTTTAGGACAGTTACAAGTTTTAGAAGACAAAAAATTTGTTAGAGCAAAAACCGTACTTGAAATCATAGAAAATTCAGAAAGAGTAACCATAAACCGTGACAATGGGATGATATAAGTAGATAAAGTACCAACAGGACTTAAAGCTACAATATATTATACGACATACAACAACCAACGAAAAAATTACACAATCCGGCGTTCATTAACATTTTAACTGCTCTCAATTTGAACGAAAACCTGGTAATGCCAAACACGCGGTTCAGTCAGCGTCTTTTAACGCTCAAGAGAAATGAGAACCCGGACTCTCAAGGACCCGCTCAACGTCGCCCACTTGGCGGGAAAAAAGTAGTGCAAACCTTAAGAGAAGTAAAAAACACAAACGAAAAAGTCTCAGCGGTAATGGAAAAACCCAAAACCAAAAACGTGAAAAAGAGTCAGAAGAAGGCTCTGACTCATACGGAACGCCCCATAACGATTCAGATTCTCCAACGTCAGAAAAGACGAAGGCGCAAACAAAACAATAGGAAAATTACCAAGATTGAAGAAAAATTGTTGAAAGCTAAATACAGTGACAAAGGTCCCGCATTATTTGGTAGTGTGAACAACTTGATAAAAGCAACCAATTTGTCGCGAAAGAAAATTAAACAATT